TGTTTTGACCAAGATAGAGCTGGAAAACCGCAAGTAATATTCCAAATTTCTGTCAAAAAATTGGTTTTTGATATTTTAGTCACTAATTCAAGTATCAGCGTTTTAAGTTTTGGTAGTCAGCTGCATAAAACAGTCATTGTTTTAGACGTGCCGCTTGATTTGACAAATTTACAGTTAAAAAACGGCAAAAAATCGTGTCTCTCTGCTGTCAAAAGGTCGTATACTTGATTTCGAGCCTAAAATATCAGTATTTTGTTCATTACAAAGCCAAAACTGGTCCAAACATGGAATGTAATATCTTATAATACTCGGAATTTGATTGCTATGATTCCCATTTGGGTTGCGTTCAAATCTGGGACACTTCCATTTTTTCAATTTCTCGCAAATTTTGATGATGGTACCCCTTATAAAAATGCGAAATTCGAGCAAAAATTAATTTTCTCAAAATCGAAAAACGAGTGATAGGGGTGGTAAGAGATGGTCGTTAGCAGCACAAAACAGTCGTTCTCTTGGCTGTAAGTCTTGTTTTGACCAAGATAGAGCTGGAAAACCGCAAGTAATATTCCAAATTTCTGTCAAAAAATTGGTTTTTGATATTTTAGTCACTAATTCAAGTATCAGCGTTTTAAGTTTTGGTAGTCAGCTGCATAAAACAGTCATTGTTTTAGACGTGCCGCTTGTTTTGACAAATTTACAGTTAAAAAACGGCAAAAAATCGTGTCTCTCTGCTGTCAAAAGGTCGTATACTTGATTTCGAGCCTAAAATATCAGTATTTTGTTCATTACAAAGCCAAAACTGGTCCAAACATGGAATGTCATATCTTATAATACTCGGAATTTGATTGCTATGATTCCCATTTGGGTTGCGTTCAAATCTGGGACACTTCCATTTTTTCAATTTTTCGCAAATTTTGATGATGGTACCCCTTATAAAAATGCGAAATTCGAGCAAAAATTAATTTTCTCAAAATCGAAAAACGAGTGATAGGGGTGGTAAGAGATGGTCGTTAGCAGCACAAAACAGTCGTTCTCTTGGCTGTAAGTCTTGTTTTGACCAAGATAGAGCTGGAAAACCGCAAGTAATATTCTAAATTTCTGACAAAAAATGGGTTTTTGATATTTTAGTCACTAATTCAGCTCTCGCAGCAAAAAATCAGAACAATCATGGGGAAAGTAAGTATCAGCGTTTTAAGTTTTGGTAGTCAGCTGCATAAAACAGTCATTGTTTTAGACGTGCCGCTTGTTTTGACAAATTTACAGTTAAAAAACGGCAAAAAAATCGTGTCTCTCTGCTGTCAAAAGGTCGTATACTTGATTTCGAGCCTAAAATATCAGTATTTTGTTCATTACAAAGCCAAAACTGGTCCAAACATGGAATGTAATATCTTATAATACTCGGAATTTGATTGCTATGATTCCCATTTGGGTTGCGTTCAAATCTGGGACACTTCCATTTTTTCAATTTTTCGCAAATTTTGATGATGGTACCCCTTATAAAAATGCGAAATTCGAGCAAAAATTAATTTTCTCAAAATCGAAAAACGAGTGATAGGGGTGGTAAGTGATGGTCGTTTGCAGCACAAAACAGTCGTTCTCTTGGCTGTAAGTCTTGTTTTGACCAAGATAGAGCTGGAAAAGCGCAAGTAATATTCTAAATTTCTGACAAAAAATGGGTTTTTGATATTTTAGTCACTAATTCAGCTCTCGCAGCAAAAAATCAGAACAATCATGGGGAAAGTAAGTATCAGCGTTTTAAGTTTTGGTAGTCAGCTGCATAAAACAGTCATTGTTTTAGACGTGCCGCTTGTTTTGACAAATTTACAGTTAAAAAACGGCAAAAAATCGTGTCTTTTTGCTGTCAAAAGGTCGTATACTTGATTTCGAGCCTAAAATATCAGTATTTTGTTCATTACAAAGCCAAAACTGGTCCAAACATGGAATGTAATATCTTATAATACTCGGAATTTGATTGCTATGATTCCCATTTGGGTTGCGTTCAAATCTGGGACACTTCCATTTTTTCAATTTTTCGCAAATTTTGATGATGGTACCCCTTATAAAAATGCGAAATTCGAGCAAAAATTAATTTTCTCAAAATCGAAAAACGAGTGATAGGGGTGGTAAGAGATGGTCGTTAGCAGCACAAAACAGTCGTTCTCTTGGCTGTAAGTCTTGTTTTGACCAAGATAGAGCTGGAAAAGCGCAAGTAATATTCTAAATTTCTGACAAAAAATGGGTTTTTGATATTTTAGTCACTAATTCAGCTCTCGCAGCAAAAAATCAGAACAATCATGGGGAAAGTAAGTATCAGCGTTTTAAGTTTTGGTAGTCAGCTGCATAAAACAGTCATTGTTTTAGACGTGCCGCTTGTTTTGACAAATTTACAGTTAAAAAACGGCAAAAAATCGTGTCTCTCTGCTGTCAAAAGGTCGTATACTTGATTTCGAGCCTAAAATATCAGTATTTTGTTCATTACAAAGCCAAAAATGGTCCAAACATGGAATGTCATATCTTATAATACTCGGAATTTGATTGCTATGATTCCCATTTGGGTTGCGTTCAAATCTGGGACACTTCCATTTTTTCAATTTTTCGCAAATTTTGATGATGGTACCCCTTATAAAAATGCGAAATTCGAGCAAAAATTAATTTTCTCAAAATCGAAAAACGAGTGATAGGGGTGGTAAGAGATGGTCGTTAGCAGCACAAAACAGTCGTTCTCTTGGCTGTAAGTCTTGTTTTGACCAAGATAGAGCTGGAAAAGCGCAAGTAATATTCTAAATTTCTGACAAAAAAATGGGTTTTTGATATTTTAGTCACTAATTCAGCTCTCGCAGCAAAAAATCAGAACAATCATGGGGAAAGTAAGTATCAGCGTTTTAAGTTTTGGTAGTCAGCTGCAAAAAACAGTCATTGTTTTAGACGTGCCGCTTGTTTTGACAAATTTACAGTTAAAAAACGGCAAAAAATCGTGTCTCTCTGCTGTCAAAAGGTCGTATACTTGATTTCGAGCCTAAAATATCAGTATTTTGTTCATTACAAAGCCAAAAATGGTCCAAACATGGAATGTCATATCTTATAATACTCGGAATTTGATTGCTATGATTCCCATTTGGGTTGCGTTCAAATCTGGGACACTTCCATTTTTTCAATTTTTCGCAAATTTTGATGATGGTACCCCTTATAAAAATGCAAAATTCGAGCAAAAATTAATTTTCTCAAAATCGAAAAACGAGTGATAGGGGTGGTAAGAGATGGTCGTTAGCAGCACAAAACAGTCGTTCTCTTGGCTGTAAGTCTTGTTTTGACCAAGATAGAGCTGGAAAAGCGCAAGTAATATTCTAAATTTCTGACAAAAAATGGGTTTTTGATATTTTAGTCACTAATTCAGCTCTCGCAGCAAAAAATCAGAACAATCATGGGGAAAGTAAGTATCAGCGTTTTAAGTTTTGGTAGTCAGCTGCAAAAAACAGTCATTGTTTTAGACGTGCCGCTTGTTTTGACAAATTTACAGTTAAAAAACGGCAAAAAATCGTGTCTCTCTGCTGTCAAAAGGTCGTATACTTGATTTCGAGCCTAAAATATCAGTATTTTGTTCATTACAAAGCCAAAAATGGTCCAAACATGGAATGTCATATCTTATAATACTCGGAATTTGATTGCTATGATTCCCATTTGGGTTGCGTTCAAATCTGGGACACTTCCATTTTTCAATTTTTCGCAAATTTTGATGATGGTACCCCTTTATAAAAATGCGAAATTCGAGCAAAAATTAATTTTCTCAAAATCGAAAAACGAGTGATAGGGGTGGTAAGAGATGGTCGTTAGCAGCACAAAACAGTCGTTCTCTTGGCTGTAAGTCTTGTTTTGACCAAGATAGAGCTGGAAAAGCGCAAGTAATATTCTAAATTTCTGACAAAAAATGGGTTTTTGATATTTTAGTCACTAATTCAGCTCTCGCAGCAAAAAATCAGAACAATCATGGGGAAAGTAAGTATCAGCGTTTTAAGTTTTGGTAGTCAGCTGCATAAAACAGTCATTGTTTTAGACGTGCCGCTTGTTTTGACAAATTTACAGTTAAAAAACGGCAAAAAATCGTGTCTCTCTGCTGTCAAAAGGTCGTATACTTGATTTCGAGCCTAAAATATCAGTATTTTGTTCATTACAAAGCCAAAACTGGTCCAAACATGGAATGTCATATCTTATAATACTCGGAATTTGATTGCTATGATTTCCATTTGGGTTGCGTTTAAATCTGGGACACTGCCATTTTTTCAATTTTTCGCAAATTTTGATGATGGTACCCCTTATAAAAATGCGAAATTCGAGCAAAAATTAATTTCCTCAAAATCGAAAAACGAGTGATAGGGGTGGTAAGTGATGGTCGTTAGCAGCACAAAACAGTCGTTCTCTTGGCTGTAAGTCTTGTTTTGACCAAGATAGAGCTGGAAAACCGCAAGTAATATTCTAAATTTCTGACAAAAAATGGGTTTTAGATATTTTAGTCACTAAATCAGCTCTCGCAGCAAAAAATCAGAACAATCATTACAAAAGTATGTATCGGCGTTTTAAGTTTCGGTAGTCAGCTGCATAAAACAGTCATTGTTTTAGACGTGCCGTTTGTTTTGACAAATTTATTGTTAAAAAACGGCAAAAAATCGTGTACTTGATTTCGATTCTAAAATATCAGTATTTTGTTCATTACAAAGCCAAAACTGGTCCAAACATGGAATGTCATATCTTATAATACTCGGAATTTGATTGCTATGATTCCCATTTGGGTTGCGTTCAAATCTGGGACACTTCCATTTTTTCAATTTTTCGCAAATTTTGATGATGGTACCCCTTATAAAAATGCGAAATTCGAGCAAAAATTAATTTTCTCAAAATCGAAAAACGAGTGATAGGGGTGGTAAGTGATGGTCGTTTGCAGCACAAAACAGTCGTTCTCTTGGCTGTAAGTCTTGTTTTGACCAAGATAGAGCCGGTTTACTTTTCTAATGGATAGAACGTGCCATTACAATACTAGAAATGTGAATCCCCTTAAAAGAAGAGTTAATCGGCTACCAAAAAGTACACCTGGGAATATCAACTGCTGTTGCGGATATTGAGAGTCGGAACAACTTAAGAATGATATGTCCCGTATTCAAAAAGAGTTAGATAAAGCCCATGAGGTTATTGCTGTAATGGAATTTGAATTAGACAGCGTAAGTATGGGCTTGTACATTTATTTAAAGTAACAACGATTAATATCTGAGGTTGGGTGGATATACTGGCTCTCCAAAATCAATGGCTACGCGAAGAAGTGCAAAGGCTTAAGTTGGAGGAAATGGATGTGATTCCTAGAGACGAGGAGGAAGATCCAGCATCTCGAAAAAATCGACGCAGTTATTGGCAGCAAGTGTCTGCAGGAATACTTAACCCCCAGCTTCAAAGTTTATCTCAAGAGCAGCGACACGGTCTAATTTGGGATTAACTTAATTGGCAAGAGGACACCCAACCACACTTACTCTTCGAATTCTGCATTTATTAATCAAAAATTATATTTTTTCTGCCAGAAAGCGCTGTCAATATCAATATTTTGCCCCATAGAATTTGCTCAAGAACAAAAGCTTATCATTATAGTCAACAGTGGTATAAATGTATCTCTGAATCACAGAACTCAAAGTTAAGCAGACGTGTGTTTACGATTTGACAAATTTACAACACGAGTAAAAGTTTATTAGCTTTTAAGGTTTTTTAAGGTCATCGTTGAATTAGCCTTTGCCGATATCTCTTCAAGTTCAATTCTAACCATATCCGATATGAATATATACTAGCAATTATATTTGATACATTAACGAGTATGTGCCTACTATGTTTATGTGTCTACGCTTAATTTCCTCTTATCTTATTTATTACCACATCTGAATTAATTGTGGTGTCATTTATGGTACCTCGAAGTCCACTTATCTGCCCAGGAAACCCATCGAACTCCATGCATAAATCAGCCGACTCTAATTCGCCTGTAAATAAATAAAATCAATTGCATTTGCAGCTCGGGGTCGCTCCTTCACTGAATGGTTTGTTTGCGTAAGCGATTTGTAATGCATTTGTGGCTCCCAAATGGATACATTTTATGAGCCCTGGAAATTAGATGGCTGAAGCTCAACCACCTGGGTCAAGTGTGCGATTATACTCGACTGGGGCCAAAGATAAAATAACCATTTCAAAATGAAAGATAAAGAGAATTTCAAGCACCAAGAACCAATTTCCAGAACGAAAATCAAACAGCCAAATGATGTTTCTCAAAATGTAGAATTTTATTTGATCGTGTCCCGACTCACGGTTAATAATATGTTTGCAGCATTTTCCATAGACACAATAATTATTAAATATATGCAAGTAGAATTCCGTAAGTATATATGTATATATATATATATATATATTTGTATCGCATTAGTTGTACGTGTGTTTTAGTAATTTATATTTACAATACTTAAAAGTCGCGGGCTATTGGCGAAATAAACTTTCAGTTTCGTTGGGGCTTTTATGGGCTTCATTTTTGGGGGCCAAAAGTGTGTTGCATATAAGTACGTGTTAATGTGTAGCTTTTTGTAGCTTCTTCTTTTTTTTTTGTTTATGTAAGACATACCTAGTTAAAGATTTTTTGCGCGATTTTGCTTACACTTGAATATATATTTAGGATATTTATTTAAATTTCTTCCTTCTCTTTTTTTTTAGCTTTCCCCTTTTATTTTTGGGTTAAAACGAGCAATTAGGACTGAGTTAAATGTGAGATGGAAAATTTTATAAATAGTGTTCAACATTTTATCTTTCAGAGCAACAGTTTAACGCTTTTATTTGGGTGTTCGCTTTTGGTATATATAATTTCGATATCAGCTGAATATTTATTTTTTCATAATACCACAAAAGACATGTAAGAAAATATGTGATGAATGCATGAGGAAAGGTCCGTAATAAATATATATGTACAATGAATAACAAACAATAAAACGAAAGTCGAAAATTCGAATTCAAAATAAAGCTCTAGGGAAGAGTCGAGAATGGGTCAAGTTTTAGTTGAGAAGTTGACAATCGTCCTTAACGTCCACAGGATTCGCAGCCCGAACTCCTAAAGTCGACTTAGACATCGGTCTCGGAACGCCGCCTTCGCCCGGGTCCACCAGCAAAATTGGCTGCAGCCAGACCCATGCGATGTTTCGCCTCCTGAGTCCCGGAATAGCCACGGGCCAAGCCAAAGTCCACGGTTCGCTTGGTACTAAAAAACACGTAAGTTTAATAGAAATATGTTAAAAATACTTATAGTTAAGTAATTGGCATTTAAAATGCAATTTTTCATATTTTAGAACAGACAACTGTTTAAGAAAATATTAAGAATGTAATGTTAAAAGGTCATCTGACATTGTCTACAGTTTCAAATATAGGTGGCGCCAATAAAACACCTCATGGCGCCCATCTGTTATTAGCTTAATTATTTTGTAATTGGTTAATAGAGAGAGTTGAGTCTGCTATCCCTCAGAAGTCAGCATATTTCGACTAATTGCAAACCCATTTATCAATATTACCTAATTAAAAACTTATTCATTCAATACTAAATATCAATATACTTACTTTTCTACATCGTTTCGTGCTCGTAACATGGTGCGTCCAAGGCGAGTCATCAAATTCATCACAGCCTCGGACACCTCATCCAGTTCGTTATAGCCAGTGCCGTCGCCACCGCCATTGTATTGGCTATTTCGAAATCACCGAAATGGAAAATTAGAGTTTAGCTAATGGTGTTCTTGTTGTATTTATACATTCGGGTACTATGTACAAGACGGATGAACAGGATATCTAATTACTTTGGCTCTGTTAAATTTGACATTTGACCGGCTTAAAATCTTCATTTGCATGGGAACCCAATTACTTGCTAATGCCCAAATCTTTGAGGCATTTTCCGTTCGAGCAATTGCTAATTAGTTGGGCAGGGGCAATGAATTTTTAATAGTTGCTTTAACGCAGCGAAATTGAGTTTTAAATTTCCTCAAATCGGTAATCTTAGCTGCCTTTAAAATGTGTCTCCCTATGTACTGCTAAAGTGCAAAGCACCCAAGTACTAAAGTACTAAAATTTTTGGCAAATTTTTCTGTCAACGTTTACATTTTATTAATTAAAAATTGTCTTTCGTTATGAGCGAAGATTTTGAATATAAATGGAAAGCAAAGCTGACACTCCAAAGTGTGAAAACTCATTTGAATGGAAAATTCGGCAGCCTAAGTATATTTTCATCTCCCACATGGCCAAGAGTCGGTCTGAGCCAACATTGACTGGCACTCAGTGGGGTAATTGCTTTTGCTTAAATATTTATATGCCACATTTTTTGGTTTTTGCAGCTAAAGTGCCAGAATTTAATTAGGTTATGTCCTTTTGTATGTGTTCAGCAAATTTTGAAAGGACATGTCTGGATGTGTGGATGGGGAGTACGGTACAACTACCTGGGCATTGGAGCTGCCTCGATGCTTGAGATGGCCAAAAAGCAGAACAGGAGGAAAGCCAAGGCGAAGCAAGCACATCGGTTTGTCATCATCGTGCGGCTGTCTCCTAAAAAGGATTAAAAGTCTTAAATTAGATATGAAGTGATTTGAGTACTTAAAGAAATATTTATTATCAACCAATGAAACCAAATAGTAATTATTTTCCTTAAACAGGTTATCTTCAATATCCCAGTTATGAATTTACTAACCCTTTGAAAATATTTTCTACACCTATCAGCTAATTTTTTCAAGTGTTTTCATAAATATTCAACAAAGCCAAGCGGTTTAGTGTTCTAGGGTCAACATCAATCAGACGCAATTAAAAATCGATGCCGGGGGTTGAGTTTCCACTCAGAACGGAAGTCGGTTGACGATGGCGACCAGGTTTTTCCATTAAGTGATTCATTAAGTGCTCAACGAAGCAGTCCCAATCTGGGTTACCCTTCCTGTTTTCGGTCTTTCCTTCCCAACTCATTTGCCTTAGAAAACTGGCGGCAACAGCGGCAATATGACCTGTTGTCCCCGTTCGCAGTTTTCAAAGGACCTCGACTTTTTGCATTGCTCAACTGCACTTCCACTTCCTGTCATCGTACACGGATACCCCTCATCCTTCTTCAGCTACTCCTAAATGGTGTTGTCACTGTTCTGTTTACAGTTGCAAAACTATAGTCCAGCACAATTCTCTGACATCACTGGCTACCCTTTGGCACCCGGGACTATCCCTGACATCTGTGGCAGTCCCCAGAGACCCCTCTTGACACCCGGTGACACACATCATTGCCCAGGCAACAGGCTGGACAAATGAATTGGCTCTCTTCGAGCTGATGGTTTCTGTCATTGCCTTCATAACACGCCACCCACCCATTGCACCTCAGATCCTTTGGACCACTGCCATCGGGCAGAGTCAACATTTATCCCACTGGCAGCTGGGGATTTGCGGACTACCAGATAACACAGTTGGATAACCACCTCAGTCTCCTTAAGTGTCAATAAATCACGGCAACGAGATAGATGGGGTAGTGCACTTCAGAAGCGTTTTCATTTAAACGATATACTATTTCATATTGAAATTCTTTTGATTCTGAAATTAATTATAGTTTTCTTTTGAACTATTAATATTCTCTTGTGTATTCTATAAGAACCCATAATTTTAAGGTTTGCTGCAGAACAGATAATTTAATATAAATTATGTGAAGTAAATTCAGCTTGTAAAATCCATTGCCCTGACTGTAATAAAAAACCCTCAATCAATTTAAGGGCCATTGGAATCTGAGGACAGAACACACCTCCTCTTCCAAAGTTGTAAACAGATAAGATTTATACACCCTCCAACCTTAAGAAGGTGACGTACTTAAGTGGCTCCCAGACACTTCAATGGCATTCTCAAGGTACTCATTACTTTATTGATCACTTATTGCAGATCGTAACTTAGGCGACGGGGGCAAAGCCAATACGGTTGTTGCCCAAATCAAACTCCGTGTAGTACTGGCCAATGAAGACATCGCCCAAAATCCAGAAGTCAGTGCCCATGTACTCGAAGGCGGACATGCATTTGCCATCCGACTGGATGATGTAGGCCGAGGGAGTCAGCTCGAAGTCCATGCCACCAATGTTGAAGATCACATCCGGCAGGGAGCTAACAGAAGAGCAGTCCAGGTAGCCATCCTCACCCACATTCAGGGTCTCGGAAAGATACATGTAGGCATTGTAGGGAGCCACGATCAGGGAGGTACCAGTATCGGCAATAGCCTGGCAGTTATCGCACAGAGGGGTACCAGCGATGGAGGCACAAGCCATCTCGAACTGCCAGTAAGCTTGTTCTGAGATGGGCACGTAGGTTAGTTCGCCGGAGTACAAAGAAGAGTCGGAACCGCCGAAGATCAGTTCACCACCCTGGGTAGAGGTGCCGTCGCGTGCCAGGTAAAAGGAGAACACGGAGTTGTCAACCAGACCCTGGGATACCATGTTGTAGAACGGAGGATCCACTCCATCCACGGCCAGAGCCTCATAGGCCATGCCCAGAATGCCATCGAAGTTGGCGTCGTTGAAGCTGGTGCCCGGTTCGGAAGTGGACTCAGCAAAGGTCTGGCTCTGGATACTTAGGCCATTAACATCGACGGTATCGGTAGACAGGTAACCAGTAAGGCTGCCAGTTCCATACTGGATGGAGAAAGACTCGCCGTTGGCCACGTAGGTAGAGCTATCACTGGAGTCGTACTGGTTGTGGGTCAAACAGGCATCGCTCTTGCAGGTATTCGAAGGCACCCACAGATTCGAGGATCCGGAATCAAAAAGAACCTTGAAGCTTTGGCCGGGAGTTCCGATGGAGATGGCTCCATAGTAGGCCATGTTCATCGAGTTAGACAGCTGCTCCTCATCCGCACTGCGAAGGGAGGCCAACTGGTACTTGGTGCGCAGATAGGACTTCTCGGCCAGAACATTTTGGCGCGTCTTAACAAAATTTTTCTCCTTGAGGATCGGAACGCGGTGGAGCTCGGCAGCGGCCAAAGCCACCAGAAGCACTACGAAACCAATTAACTTGAACATTGTCTTGTTTTGTTGTCTACTTAAGTTCGACTAACTGCTGATCGTAGGGCCGGGTCTAATTTATAGCACTTGCCATCAATCACAGCCCAAATTGTCTAATGATAAGATTTATTGGCCACTGTGGCGATGCCGCCCACCACTTGAGGTCGCAGCAATATTTCTTCATAATGCCTTATCTCAGACAGATAATTTTAATCTGGCATATTATCATATCAGCTGCTAAAGAGGCGATTTTCGATGGTGCGTTGTTCTCAAGAAGCGAATCCAATAATTTGTATACGTAGCTGGACTTTGTTTAGATTTGTTATTTAAGTGACTTCGATAATGTAACATATGCGATAATGCTAAGTGACCCCTCGAAATAATTCGTTAATATCATTAGCGCCCTAAACCCACAGAAAAGCCAATGAATGCGAGATAACGATGAGTGGGTTTCGTTTTAGGGAATAACCACCCATTTGGGAAAATCATCAAGCACCAGGGGAAAAACACAACAATTCGATTACATATAAGTGGTTTAATATGCTATGCTAGATTTAGATTATATTATTACTCACTAATTATAGCCAATTATTACATCAGAACTCAAATGAATTTCAACTTTAATTCACAAATAAACTTATTTAAAAACCCATTTAGTTCTTAATATTTATAACATACCTAATCTTAAGAAATCTTTAAAAGTTACCCAAACGTGGATTACCCAAATGAATTGCTTTTCAATTGGCTAACTTAAAGAAACGTGGGAGTTCAATCGTCTTTAGCCAAGAGGAAACACTTTCAATCAGGCTCAACTGGCCACGAAGAATTCCCTTCCGATTAAATGGTTACATTTGAGCTTTTCCCTCGAGGATTTGCCCGGTCGTATAAAAATATATATTTCGTTTTGGCAGATAAAAGCAAATGCAGGTCCAGCGGAGTCATCATCTTCTTGCCATGGCTCCTTTTTATTAAGCTTAAGTCCTTATTGAAATCAGATTTAAAATCAAATAAAATGCCACTTCAATTGGGCAAGGAGGACAAAGGAGATTCATTGGTTCGATTGCGTTTTACTGCCAGCTCCAGGATTGTTTGCACATACGGGGTTGTGGGTAGTTATGTGGTTAGCTGGGTGGTTCCCTATGTGGTCAGCCACAGGTTAATTGTAGTTCAGGGCATCCGCTTATCGCCGAGGGCACCCGAGTAACACCCGTACAGACAGGGCGACAGGAGTCCACGGGCGAGTGCGTTGCGCACTTTCAGCCCAAATAAAGTAATCAACGGATTTCACGCACCGTCAGGCAATTTCGGTTACCATTCTGGCATTCTGGCACCGGCCGTATGATTACCGACGTGGCCCGCCTGTTTTCCTTTCCTCAAATTTTTTTCTGTGGTGACATTTCATGTGCAATTATTAGGCTGCTCAAATGCCATCCGTATTCGATGCGCCTGGCTTCCCCCGCCGACCGTTTATCAATCATTTTTGATTTATGGGCCACCGCGAGTGGATTGAAGTGGAGTTGATTGTAGTCGGCAAATACATAAATAAAGTATACGCCCGGGGTGACCGGCCAACTAACCGAACAACTCAACGAAGTGTGAGCCCACATGAATTTCGATTTATTTTTTATTTGCTCTCTGCGTGGGCATGGCTTAAAGGCTTAGTCCGAGATGCAAATAGTATTTAACCAAAAATAATCAGCAAATATACACAATTGGTAAATATTTTCTGTCGCGTTGAGGACGGAAGAGAGTAAATAAACTGGCATTATGGAAAGTATCCGATTCGGTCAGTGAGCATTTGCCTCTGGGCTAACAGGATGCTAGGACTGACAATGGGTGGGTCGGAGGCGCAGTCATGGAGCACCACCACCCACTTAACCTCATCGACTTCTTTCCGCCGATTGCATTTTCACAGCTTGCTTGATCTCCGATGCACCCACTCGTAGTTTATGAACCTCGGAGTCAGTCAAGTGCCAGGCGATTAATCGAGTAAAATATTGAACTTGAAATTGAAATAAACACTCGGCGACGAACTTTGGCCTATAAGGGATACCCAGTTGTGATGTCATATAAGTTAAATGAAGGAACTATTTAATGTATTAAAGTGATACTCAGTTAAAGAAAACACATCAACTACATATTTTAATTACAAGATACAAGAAAGCAAACCTAAAATCGATTACAGTACTATACTTTTGTTGTCAAACTAAGGAAAAAATCCACTACGTTATGCTGAAATTTGAAAAAGCATTTAAAACAGTGTTTGTACTTTCATCGCTCTAAAAAGAATTTCCAGCATAAACCCAGTACTTCTTATCTCTAATTTGCTATACAAAGATTGATTTTCAAAAAACCAAAAACCACCAAACAAGCTACTCAACAATGAAGATGCTATCTTCTAACAAGCTAAATTCTCAAACTTCAAAAGGATGTTCAGCAATCAAAAGTTGACGACTTAATCTGGCATTCAAAATCCCGTCGAATATGACCCATCTCCAAACGAAGATGGACTCCCATGGTCATGGAGCATTCAAATCCCATCAAGCGGAATAGGCCAAACAGTTTGGGCAGCTTGGCCCTGGTTATTGTGGTTAACCCAAATCAAGTGTTGCCCAGTCAGCAGAGGCATTTTACCTAACGAGATGCTTGACTTGCTGCCACCACCTGCCCACACAGGACTCTCACCTTGGCCAAGTGGCAGTCTCGTCTCCCGTTAACAGAGCTTGGAGATGGTGGTGGGAGGTTGGTGGTTGGAGGTGGGTGCAGTGCCGGGATGAAAGTGTAACACGAGAGTCAGACATTGAAATTGCATTGCGTTGATTATGGCCAACAACACAAGACGCACTCACACCCTCTGAAACGCTGGCTTTTGTGGGTCGCCTGGAGGCCCGCTGCGTTGGTAACTGAAAACGTACTTATGATTGGCGGGTGGGGCAATCTGAGGTGGTGCGTATGGTGTGGACCTGGGATCTAGGATCTGGGCACACGGCATGGCAAATTGAATTTGGGTCATTCAATCCCAAGGCCAGGGCTAAGGATTTTAGCCCACTTCCTAGGCATCAACAATCAAAAACGTTTCCACGTGCTTTAATCTTCATACCCAGCAGTTATAGCCTTTGTGTGGGTATATTGGCTGAGGATATTTATGATATTTCCATATTTCCTTTTAATTTTATATTTTGCCAAACAACCCAAAAGAGTTTTCCTCAAGAGTTTCATCAACTTAGATTTATTTTATTTTATTTTATTCTAACATATGTTTAATCAGGTCAAAAGAATAAACCTCAACCAAAAACACCTGAAAAACAACCATTACAAAATTTGTTAGCCAAAACAGGACAAGAAAGATGGTTAAAATTAACTAAGTTTCTCCCTTTTAAACATAACCTTTGCCATTATTTAATTAGCGTTGCATTAATTCCATTCTCGTTGACGCTTGAAAATGAATAAATTTTACCTAATTTAGCAAATCCAGGTCCCAGGTAAGGGAAAGCAGAAATAATTAGGGCAAATTATTGCCGCGACAGGCACTTTTAGTTGCATTAAATTTTCATATACCAAATGAAAATTGCGTATACGCATGGAAGGGGGTGGCATTTGGGGGGCAATGGAAAACCTCTCCTGCCGCGTTGTAATTGGATGCTTATTGAATTAGTGACAAAGTCAGCGGATTGGGTGGAGGATTCTGCGGTGTCCGGGCTTCTGGGACTCAAAGTGTGGCCGTGGTAGTGGTGGTTTTTGTTGGGAATGGGAGGGCTGCCCCGCTGAGTTCCTAGCTGCCATTTTAGATATTCATCAAATTATTCCGTTTGTCAAATTAAGCAAACAAGACCCACACAGCCGGAGACAGAAGATTGATTTGGATTTGTGTTGGCAGACATTTGATTTGCCCTGATTCGGCTGAGCGTGTCCTGTGTCCTTGCGGCTCGCTTTGTGTGCGGATGCGATGCCATCTTAACTGATTACTTGGCAAAGCCACTGGGCATAAGTCGGCTAAATGTCCGTAAACAGGTGAGTTCTTGGCCACTTGGTAACTATTTCTCACCTTGAATGAAAGGAAAAGTCTGGCTAATGGAAACTGCTAATAAGCTAGCACTTAACCATCTAGGGTCAGCTGAAAAAATAAGTTTTTCCTTTACGACTTATAAACTTAAGTCCACAACTTTGAGATGAGGGTCCATTCCCGGAATATCACTTGGAATCTGGCATAAATCTGGGAGATATCAACAAGTCAGACACACGACAACTTAAAGTGTGAAAAATCTGTAGGCAAAACCATTTGAGACATCAATCAAGGCAATAATCTCTAAGCGATTAGATTGGTTGCGAAATTAGTTAGGCTGCTTATGGCCACAATTATTATCACTTTAAAGCACGCGACGTCAACACTCCAATCTCAACAATCACCCTTAAGTTGTATTTATTGTTATTTATGGAGGATTTTAGACCTTAAAAGGGCTGTTGGTGGGTGAAAATGATAAGAAAGGTAATTGATTCTTAATAGAAAATTTAGTGTTACTTCACCTGAAAAAACGACAAAAGTAAATATAAAAACTATAAGTTTATACTTACACCCTTTTTACAACCCACAAATAACTTATCCTTCACACACACATCCACCTAAAAGGTCACGTCAGAAGCCACTAGTAATTATAATTGTATAACCTATAATGGTTATGTACCATTAAAAAAAGTGAAAGAAAACTTTGCCAGATCCTCATGGGAGGTAAAGTTTTGGGGCAAAGTTTACTTGGTCCCAGTTTAAGGGACATGGAGCAGAGACAAGCTCGATGCGCCTGTTGTGGATACCCGAGCATTTCTCGGATGCCGAAAACAATGTAAAAATTGTTGACCCAACAAGGAGCTGGGGGAATGTAAGGACCTTCTTTTGCCACACATAAAGACAATGAGGTGGAAAAGGCGAACGAAAGGTGGGCCAAAAGGTGAGGAGTTCCGGGGCGGGGACATTTAACTTGCGGAGGCTAAAAGCATTGCCCGCAACAACCGACAGGATAACATCCTCCTGGGAGTTGCCACGCGAGCGCGCCGCCTTGGGTTTGC